TACTCAATCAATATATACTATAATCATATACTTTTTGGTTTGTTTTAAGAATATGATCAATAATAGCATCTGTTAATATTGTTGGCCATAAAGCTATATCATTTATTACTTCCGTGTATCTATATATATCGAAGCGTTTTTCTGGACTAATTCTATCTTCTGCGTTTTCGCAATCCCTTTTTTCAGTAGCATTTTAAAGACTGCGGGAGCCCCTTCGTGGCCCTACGCGCCCGCATAGTTCGCTTACCGCTTAATCCGCTGTTCGGGTATACACCACATTTGCGTACCACTGTAAAGCAAAAAATGATGTAAGAATTTCTGCACGCCTTTTACAACCTCGAAACTAAGATTTTATTCGGTAGTTACCGTTTTCAATTTAGTAATTTTTAAAAAATCCTCGGACAGATTTATTTTTGTTACAAAATGACAGATTTTACAGATTTCTAGCTCTGCACACTGTAGAAAAATCTAGAAATACAGTTTTTGTATATCGTAATAATATTAGTAATTGCCAGAAAGCTCTATAAAGTAGAGAAAAATCTGTAAATTTGAAAACTATAAACATAAATGTAGATTTCTCAAAAAATAAAATAAAAAAAATATCATCATCTAGGACGAAAATTTATTTAAAAATTCAATTAAAAATACAATTTTTTGCTTGATAAAATCATATAATCAAAGCACGGTTAATTGAGAATTTAATCTATCATATGTGGGCTATCAAATTTGTCGAGTTTATTATCTTGAGATATTAAGCAGAGCAAAATTTCTTTCCAGTAATATGTAAACTAATCCTTTGAACAGCGTGAAAAGAAAATGGCACGGTGTTCAGTGTCCCATGGTGTTGCTGCAATTTATTTACAAGATAAAATTGGCATTGACCTGTAATACATTATTTAATAAACACGAACTGTCTCGTAAATAATTAGAAAACTTTAATAATAAGCAAAATAAAATAATAATCTGATAAACAGGATAAAAATTAAACAAAAAAAAATGTTCGACTTAACATAATTTTAGAAATAAAAGATTATTTTTGCCATAAAAACAAAATGTTTATAAAATAATTGACAAAACAAATCTGTAATTGATCCAAGTTTATTTTTTAGAATTTCTTTTCGATTTCTTTATTAGAAAAAATATATATTTAAATATTTTAAAATGAAAACATTTTCGAGTTTTTAATGGTTTTCTTATTTTCATAAATATATAGTAATTTAGTAAATATAGAAAATATTTTAAAATAATCTAATTATTTTAATTAAGATTACTTTAACTAAACATTTTAAAAATTAATTCTAAATTAATAAATAATCGTTAAAAAAATTGAAAAATTATAGTTTCAATTTATATATAATTAGGGCTATCATTTAAATAATTATTACTTGAGAATTATTATGAAAACATATTAATAGTAAAACATAATAATGATATATAAATTAATGTAAATTTATTAAAATTTAATGTCTATTATTAAAAACTATATACTTTTTGACTCTAATTTATTTCTTTTAATTGATTTTAATGAGTAATACGATATATGTTATACATTAAAATGTGTAATGTTAATTGCTCCAAAGGGTGATCAACATGGCAAATGCAAAAATAATATTTAAAAAAATTCGATGAATATGAATTTATTTTAAACATATACAGACTGAATAATTGTGTTTATAATTATTGGCTTTTAATACTGGGATTTATAGGTCATATAATCAATATGAATAAAATTTCAGCAAGTTAAAAATTGATAAAATAAAAAATACATTAATATTTATTAAGAAAATGATAGTAAACATAAAAATTTAAATTTTCATTGAAAGAGTAAAACATAAATGTTGAAGATTAATTTAAAAATCAGCATAAAAATGAAATTTGTAAACTTATTATGTCAGATCGACCAAAAGTAATGTACAACAATAGAAAAAAATTTCCTGAAAAAATATAAAATTTTATAGTTAGTAATGAATATAAAAATTCCAAAAATACACAACAGTTTTATAGAAATTTCACTTCACTTTGTACTTCTATAAAACTTTTTTATAACCGCAATTAAGCTTACAAAATAAAACAAATGCTGTAAAACAATTGTAATGGATTATGCAAATTTAAACTGAATCCACGTATTTTTAACAATAAAACAATTTAAATTAAGTAGAGGAATAAAGATGTTTAAAATAAAACATATATATATATATATATATATATATATGTATATACATATATATATATATAGGGTGGGCCAACGAAAACGAAACGGCAGAGTTATCGTGTTCGTCCAAGCAAATCGCTC